TAGTATCTTTAAAGTCATGATTCTGAACTCTAGATCCGACATCGTACTAATGTCCGTATTGAGTAGGTCCCTGGCTGATGGTACTACCTCTTGTTCTTTTTGCTGAGGTGATTTTTTTCGTCTTGTCATTTTGTCCAGAGGAGAATAGATGAATGAGAGAACAAAATGCTAACAGGTTAACAATGTCCCCAGCAAATATACTGTATACAAATCAGAAAAGACCTGAAACCAGGGGAAAAGAAAGGGAAAGAAAGAAAAAAGAAAGAGAAGAAAAAAAAAGAAAAAAGATAAAAACAAAAACAGAACAATAGAAAAAAAGCAGACTTGATCAAATATGATCAGGCTAGTGCATAGATCAGTGCCACACACTAGATTTTGGGCGTATTTTGGTCTGTTAGAAAAAAGTGCCTCCTAAAATTTTAAAGGAAGACATACATGTACAAAGTAAGGGCTGATACAATGAAGGGATAGAAGATGACTGTAAAGATGAAAATTATAAAAGATTTTTAAAAGGACTTGATAAGAAGTTGTTTGAAAAAAGAAAGAAGATTTAAGAAAAAAAAAAAGAAAAAAGGGAGAGAATGTGATCAGGCAGGAGACTAGAACAGAGCCATACACTAGTGATTTAGGGTATATTTTGATCTGTTAGAAGAAACTGTATCTCAAAATTTTAAAGAGAGAACAACTTATATATATATGCCAAAAATAAGGGTAAGTACTATGAAGGGATAAAATATGACTCTAAAAATGAAAAATAAAAAATGTTTTTTTTTTTTAAAAAGAGATTGATAAGATGTTGGTTGAAAAAGGGAAAAAGAAAAATAAAAAAAAAAAACCAAAACAGTTAACAAAAATTAACTTTGATGAACTAATGAATCATGGTAAAAAAAAAAGCCATGAATTCTATGTGCAGTATTCCCCTAGCGCTGGAGTTCTCCCGTTCTCCTTGATCGGTATACTTGGTCTTGGCTTGCTGGCTGTTCGCGCTGATCTTCTGGGGGAGGGGCCTGTTGCCGTGGTTTCCAAATGTCTTTGCCGGAGGCTGAATTGCCCCGCCCTTGTCGGTCCGGGCTAAGCAAGCTGCTCGGGTTTGATCTCAGGAGCTTTTGTTCCCTGCAAGCTCTTGGTACAGCTTTGGAGGACCAGGGCAAAAATGGTGGCTTCCCAATCTGCACCCGGAGGAGCTGAGAACTTGGGGCCCCGCTCCTTAGTGCGCCCACAGAGAAAAGCAGTCACTCCCTTGTCCCCGTGCTCACCCGGCCTATGACCGAGCGTTTCTATCTCTGGCACCCGACCCTGTGTGGAGTCTCCAAACCCAGCAGATCCCTGCGGTGCGCTCCCGCGCCGCTCCTCCCTGGGAAGGAAGGGGAGTCTCCCCGGCTCTGCCGCCTGTTGGGTCCCTTCCAGTAAGTGGTCGCTTCTCTGTTCAGAGAGTTGTTGCTACTCTCCTCTTCGATCTCCTGTTGAGTTCGTAGGTGTTCAGAATGGTTTGATCCCTATTCAGCTGAATTCCTGAGACCAGACGAAATCCAGGTCTCCTACTCCTCCGCCATCTTGCTCCCCGAGTGCTCCGAGCGCAGCACCCACTGCAGAATTTCTGCCTCAATCGCCGCCAAACCTGCGCCCTGGAGCATGACGGGATCCCTACAATTTTTTTAAAAGATTTATTTGTTTAATTTTATTAAAGATTTATTTATTTATTTTAGAGAGCGTGTATGCGGGGGGTGGGCAGAGACGGAGAGAGAGAGAGAATTTCAAGCGGACTCCACACTCAGCGTGGAGCATGACACAGGGCTAGATCTCACCTGAGATCACAACATGAGTCAAAATCAAGTGCCGGTCGCGTAACCGACTGAGCCTCCTAGGCGCCCCTTTCATTCCCACGTTTCGTCTCCACACACCACCTTGTTATTTTAGTTCTGGTTTTGCATACATAGGTCAATGAGATTATAGATCCCAATGAGGTTATAAACCCTTGAAAGAAAACGCTGCTTCTTATAAAGCCTTGTGTTTCTCACTCCACCTACTGAAGTGCACTTAACATCTATATAAAACCTGTTGACTAATTGATTATGACTATAGTCATAATAAATCCCATTTACTGAGTAAGTGCTTAGAGTGCAGTCTGTCCAGAGTCACATCGAACTGGACTGAATCCTGACAGTGTGGCTGGTTAACCTGCCATCTGGGCCACTGCACCATTTCTTCATCTATAAAATCAAGATCAGGATGGCACCTCCCTCCTGGAATTCTTTGAGAATTCAATGAGCTAATCGCTGAAAGAACTACCTGGAAGAGTTACCATTCAGAGAGTGTTAGATGGGAATGATAATAATCATGATGTTCCCAGGCAAGGGGATGTGTTCTTTCTGTGTATTACCATTAACTCTTATTATAATTCTACAAAGTAGGAACTCTCCTTAGGCTTATTTTATATATTTTATAGCTTATAAACTGAAGCTTAAGGAAGGGAAGGATTTGGCCCAAGGTCACAGAACAGGATTGGAGCCAGGGCAAGCCAGCTGCAGCCCCCCCCCCCCCACTTTTTAAAGATTTTATTTATTTGAGAGAGACAGAATGAGAGAGAGAGAGCAAGCATGAGAGAGAAGAGGGTCAGAGGGAGAAGCCGACTCCCCGCCAAGCAGGGAGCCTGATACAGGACTTGATCCTGGGACTCCAGAATCATGACCTGAGCCGAAGGCAGTTGCTTAACCGAGCCACCCAGGCGCCCTGCAGAGCAACCTCCGCCCTCCCTTTTTAACCATTACAAATGCCAAGTGGCAAAGTGAGCTGTATCAGAATCTACTGGCATTGTGCCCGTTTAAGCCCCTGTTAAAGAAACATGTGGGGAAAGGGCAAGGTCAAATATGTAAAGAAGTCCTGCTCTAAACTGGAATGGGGGTTCCGATTTGTCCGAGCATGTGCATGACCTAGGAGCAAGTTTGCCGGAAGTCAATGAACCTGGAGGGGGGTGGGCATGCCCCGGTGCTGGATGTGGAGAAAGAGGGTAGGGAACGGAACATGGCATTTGGTTCTGTAGCCCTCTCGGAGCCCTCTAGGGCAATAGGCGGCAGACAGATGATGAAGCAGCTGTTTTCATGAGGGATGCTGAGACACAGAGGGATAAGCAGCCTGGCTGGAGGCCCAGCGACGGGGCTGTGACATGGAGTGGGGCGAGCGGCGTTCTCCCCAGTGCGCGGGCCCGGCTGTGTCGCAGTGCAGATGTGCCGCAGGGCCTGGGCACCCTCCGCGGTAGGCAGGGCGCCCTGGGTGCAGACGTTTGTGCTCTCATCAAGGACTCCGGCAGGAGCAGTGGTGCAGGGGGACCCCAAAGTGGCTTCCTGGACACAACAAGAGTAGAAGCCCTTGAAACCCCCAAGCATCTGTAAGACACCTTGTGGGATTCATACTGAGCTGCAGTTGTGCATCATGCAAATGAGTACAAGACAGTGAAAGACAGGTGCTTACTTCTTATGGACTGACTTGTATCCCTCCAAGTTCATATGTTGAGGTCCGACACCCAGTATGACAGAATTCGGAGATGAAGCCTTTAAAGAGGTGACTAAGTGAAAGAGACTAAGTGTTAGGGTGGGTGCCATGACTGGTGGCCTTACTAGGAGAGGAAGAGATGCCAGGCGCACAGGGGACGGGGCAGTACATCCAGAGGCAAGAAGACAGCCATCTGCAAGGCAAGGCCAGAGGCCTCTTGCCAGCACCTTGATCTTGGACTTCCAGCCCCCGTAACTGTAAGAAAATAAATTGTTGCTGTTTAAGCCACCTCATCCGTGGTATTTTTTATGGCAGCCCTAGCAAACTAGTATACTATTCCTAAAGAAGATCCATGTCCTGCCTCTAGGCTGGTGAGGCCTGGGGCAACTTGGGGGCGACTCACATTTAACTCTTGCTCTCCGTGTTTAAAGCCGGGAGTATCATTCATCTTACAGAATAGGAAACCAAGGTCAGGGAAGGTAAATAGCTTGCCCAGGATCACACAGCAACTAAATAATGGAGGATTCAAATGCAGGTCTTTGTGACTCCCCAGTTCACGCTCCATGTGACACTGCCCACCATCTCCCACACCATCACCAGTGATGTATTTTACCCACGTACTAATCACTCAGTGATTAACAGGACCAGCACATTTCCTACTGCCCCGATGATCCAAGAAAGATGGTTCTTCATTTATGAATTGAGTACAATTGACTGTGAGGTAACATCAAATCCAGAAATACGTGCTGACAAAGTAAAATTTGATTTTTTTTTTAAAGATTTTATTCACTTATTTGAGAGAGAGAGCAAGCACAAGTGGGGGGAGGGGCAGAGGTAGAGGGAGAAGCAGGCTCCCCACTGAGCAGGGAATCCGACACAGGGCTCCATCCCAGGACCCTGAGATCATGACACGAGCAGAAGGCAGCCACTTAACCAAATGAGCCACCCAGGCACCCAGAAAATCGATTTCTTGAAAACATTTAAAAAATATTTCTAAACCATTACTACTCCAGGCCATAAAATGATCTTAGTAAGATGATGTAGAGCGGGGCCCGAGGCAGGCCTGTTCCTGAGTAAAGGTGTATTGGACAAGTAGGAGAAGAGAGAGGGGTCAAGGGAGGAGAGGAGACAGGGATTTCTCTCCACTTCCCAAAGTCAAAGGCTATGTCTTTATCATTGCTACGTGTTGTCCCCCCTTCCCCCTGGGGGGGTGGCTCCCAGGGCTGGGATCCATGGGCTTGCCATGTATGCTTGTTGATTGGCCAACTGAACCAACAACGGATTCAATCCTCTAATGAGAAGAAAAAGAATCCTTGGGCTTTTTCAATGACCTAAATTCGTCAAAGTATTTTGGGCTTTTCCTAATTTGCTTTCTGTTTCATTTAAACAAATGAGGTGGAACTGAAGGGGAAGTAAAGATTGAACTAAAGAATTAAGCCACAGACCAGAGCAGAGCCAAAAGGGGTTCTTGCCTGAATATGTGAACAGGATTCATGAAAACCTGTCTCCCCGTTCCCCTTTACGGTCCTCGTGGAAATCAGCTCCGTCCACTGCCTCAGGTGAGATAGGAAATGTATTTGTTTCAGGTGGCTAGGATATTCCTGGTCTCTACATGATGAGCCACAGTCAGAGATACTGACAGCTCACAAGATGATATACAACAGTGGTAAATATAGGCAGAAATCCAAATTTTGTGAGCCAGATAGACCTTTTTTTTTTCCCAAGTTGCTGATTTTTAAGAACTGTCTTCAGAGCTCATCTGTTATTTTAATTATGCTCAAAATAATTATGTAAAGGCAGAGCACAAAGGATTTCTAGGGCAGTGACACTGTTCTGTATGATGCTAGAACGGTGGGTACGTGTCATTGTACATTTGTCCAAACCCGCAGCATGTACACCAAGAGTGAACCTTAACGGAGACCATGAACTTTAGGTGATAATGATGTGTCAGTAGAGGTCCATCAACTGTTACAAAGGCGCCAGTCTGGTGGGAGATGGGGGGGGGGGGGGGCGGGGAGGCTGTGGCTGTGTGGGGACAGAGAAAGCTCTGTACTGGGAAAGCTCTGTACTTTCTGCTCAATTTTGCTATGAACCTAAAAATGCTTTTAAAAAATGAAGTCTATGAAAAAAATTATCTACTGAAAAAATAATGTAATAAAGTCTCTTCCCCATTAAGAAAAATGGCTAACCAGGTTATGAACAAGGCAAAATGGAGCGAGATGTCCTTAAGGTTTTCAAGTACTATTCTAAAACCAATGCTTTACTGTAGTACGCCTTACTGTAATAAAATGCAAAAATTCCTCAGTACTCTATTCAGATTTTGATGAAGCATTGTGGGAGGGGGAAGGGAGTGTTTTCTCACTTTACCTTGGCTTATTATAATTATTAGTGTAGTAACTATAATATCTTAATTTTCTTAGGTGCTACTTTTCAATTAGTATGAAGACTATAATAAATTAGGGTGAGTTACTCTGTTTCGGTATCGCAGTTATTTCCTTGGGGACAGGGAAAGTTCTAACAGCTGAAGACTTTTCACAAATATTTTCCCATTTTTTTCCAATACACTCATCAAGTTATTAATTTCTAACTCTATCTGTAGAAATTTTAATGGGCTTTCAATTACAATGTTTCCATTTAACTTGCAAATGGAAGATACCTCCATCCTACTATCTGCTATTATTATAAACACAGCTTTGAGTCTGAACAATCCAGTGCTGATTAGAGGTCTTCAGCACTAAGCATTGGTCTCACTTCTAAAGTTTAACAAATAACACAATACATAATTCTCTGGCACGTCCAGTCTTTTTATGTCATGCAGTTGAAGCTCCCTCTACTCATGTGACAAGCAACCAGAACGCGTACTATAATCAACTGAGCAGGCTATGATTAACTTTGCACAGAACTGTCCCCAAACTCTGTACAAACTCCATGGTGGTTCTTAGAGAAAAACATGTCAAGGCATATTTCTCTAATGAAGAGAAAATTTCCAATTAAGAGCATCTGATAGGTCTTATTTTTTAGGTGATGATGAATCAAATTAGCACAGGGCCTGGCCAAACTGTCTCTTGTATTATTTTCATTTGCTTCTGCTACACCAAGCCAATCATTTGCAAGGTGGCTGGTCTTTATAATGTGGTTGGGACCATTACATGAATGAATTAATTGCACAATAATGCATTGAGCTCATTCCCATTATCCTGAAATAGGGCATGTTCCAGCCACATCTGTGAAATAAGTAGATGCAGCGTTACTCCCATGTTTCTCGAGTGTCTGCACAGAGTCCTGTCAGAATAATGAAAGAAAGAATTTGCATTTCTTTTTCTTCCATGTTACCGGACAACACTTAGCAGAGCAGAAATTTACCTTTGGGATTCTTATGAAACATTCTGGATAGGACAGGATCCTCAATTTCTTGGAAGATAATTTTATTATTTCTTTTTGGTTGAGAGCTAAGAAAGACCTCATTTGATTGTCCTGTGTCATTTCCCGAGCACTAATAATGTGCCTGAAGATAATGTGAAGTCGGAGCTGGTAGCTAATAGCTCTGAACTCGAGGCATCTCCACAACCTGATTACCTCGCTCTCTTTATGGACAGCAGAGGTTTAAATTGCAAATGGTGGGAACTGAGCAGCATCTCAGCTGCCTTCCCATGACGGACATTGTCAACCATCTGGTGCCCCCCACACATACAAAGGTCTAAGTGAATTTTTATTTACAAAGCATTCAGACCACTCCAGTGAAAGGACTGGCATTCTGTTTCACTCCAGAACCCATTTGGAACCATTCTGCTCTATTGTCAATAATTTCATTATTACCCCAAGTAAGGTGATGGTGGCTATCTTCTGACTAACATCTTTCCCAGTCTGGGAGAATTTTCTTACCAACTGGGATAATAAGGTGGCTAGGAATGGAGCGGGTATCTGCTCAAGGACAATCTGTCCAGAAAAGTCCTTCGAATTCCCAAAAGACCCCGGGGGGGTTAATATGTCTAGAGCATCACTAGATTTAATTGAACTCCAAAATCTTAAATAATTTCTGGGGGTGCAGATGCTGTGTGCCACTCAGGTCCCTCTATCAGGACTGGCGAATTTATTCCTCCAGCGGTTTCTGGGAAGGATGTCTGCCCACTATTCTCAGAACTGTTCTATCCAATGGCACAGCCCTTCCTGGGGAAGCCAGCTTCCAATAATTGGTCCAGGCTTTCCCCTCCCAACTAAAAGCAACCCAGAAAGGCCATCCCAGCTTCAGCCCTCCTCATGGGGCCACCTCAGGCCTGGGTTTACACCACTACTTTTTTCTCCTCCCCTCCCCACCCTGCTTTCTTCCCTCTCCTTCCCTTCCCATCCACAGGTCTTCATCCCACGGGCACTTCCTAATAAACTATTTGCATGCTGATTTTCATCCCAGGGTCTGTTTCCTGGGGAACCCAACATACAATCTCCCGCTTCCCCTTTTCCTTGGCTTTTAAATACTATTGCTTTCTTGTAAATGGAACTAGCCTGTGGAGAATGTCTTGGCACTATATATATATATATATATATATATATATATATATATATATATATATAGGCTTTTTCTGCATGAAATTTCTGAGGGCGTAGACTGTGCCTACTTCATAGTCTACACCCACAGAACATCTAGTGCTGTTAGGATATAATAAATGTTAACTGAACAGAAGAAGCCCCATGTTGGGGCGGGGTGGTGAGTATTATTACTCACAAGTGCTAAATATTTTATTTGGGGCTCACTAGTAACTTCAGAGGACTGCAAGTAAGTTAAGTTCATTGGGCCTACCATTATGCACAGGCAGCTGCATTAAACACTGGAAAGTGCATGCATTTTGTTTTCCTTTGGATATATTTGAGGATGGGGAAACTGACCTCTTGCAAAGCAGTAAAATGGAATTGCTTGTTAACTGTCAAGTTTCTTATTTCAAGACACTTTTGGAAAATGTCTTGTCATTGCTGTTTTTCTTTTCAGCTCTGCAAATAGATTTTTATTGCCTTTTTATTTCCTTTAACAGATCCAAATTTAGGATTGATTGAGAGAATGCTTACTAGCAAGTAATGTCATTGTCGAACGAGTAGACTTAGAAATAACGTGAGCCGTAGTTAGTTGAGGTCACTCTACCCCCTTAAAACCTACAGGAGATAGCCTCAATCCCCCATCCCATGATTTGTGGGAAGTCTTAAGGCATTCCTCAGTGATTCTATGAATTTCTGGAGGTCTTAGTTCTTGTGGAGAGCTCTGACCCCAAGCTCCTATTCTGCTACATTTGAGTTTAGGGATGGTCTCTTCCTAACCTATTGCTTTCTTTATTCTGTACTATGTCAATACAACGTAGAACCCAGTCTTTCCTCCCTGCCCTTTCTTTATACATGCACACACACAAACACACATATACCATTCGCAGGAGATATTCTTATATGTAGCCAGATTTTACTAAAGTTTTGGGAAGGTGAAAGTTATGTAACGCAGAATGCAAAAAATATGATTACAATATTAATCATCTCTGCCTTGAAAAACAAGTCTTTCGTCCTTATCTGCAACAATTCGACAGCCTCTCCCTATTCCTACGTGCCCACTTCTTTTTAAGAGAAGAAAAAAAAATTCCCCTCATTCTCTTATAGAGAATAATTCAGCCCTTTCAGACACTAAGTCCGGGCATTTCTGACCGTGACAGAAAACCCAATTTAAACTGGTTTACGCAGGAGTTTCTACGAGTCTGATAACTTCAACATCGAGGGCTAGATCTTACTTCAAGGAATGGTGGATAAGGGACCCCGCCGTGTCAGCAGATCCGCTTCCCGTCTCTCGGTCGGTTGGCTCTGTTCTCGCTGATAGCGGCTCCCTCTCAGACGGCCTTCACGCACTGCTGTAAAACGATCACGCTCACTTTTCACACATCTTCCAGCGCGTCCCACCAACTGAAAGAGGAGGCCGGCCCGGCCTCAAGTCTCCGCAGCCTGACGGCATTGCATTGGCTGCGAGTGGGTCACGTGCCAATCCCTCAGCCTATCGCCGTGGGCAGGGGAATGCAGCGTGCTCATTGGCTCAGGCCTAGTTCCCGTCGTCCAACCCTGGAGCTGCTGGGGGCGGGATCCGTCTGACTCAAACCACGTGAAGAGGGAAACCAGCTGGGAGGGGCACAGAGCGGTGACGTGTCGCAGAGCAATAGCCCAAACCTACAGTATCAGCTATAAGCTTGACCCACCCTCTTATTTACCTTGGGGCCTCCCTCTGAATATTTAAGAACTCCCTGAAGTCTTAAAACAATTGCTTGAATGTGCCTGGCCAGTTAAGTCTGGAGACAAAAGCCATCTTCCTGCACATTGACAGTTTATAGAGTGGGGAAGGGTTTTTGTTTTTTGTTTTTTTTTAAGATTTTATTTATTCATTTGTCAGAGATAGAGCGAGCACAAGCAGGGGAAGCGACAGGAAGAGGCAGAGGAAGAAGCAGGCTCCCCGCCGAGCAGGGAGCTCGATGCGGGGCTCGATCTCAGGACCCTGAGATCATGACCTGAGCTGAAAGCAGATGCTGAACCCACTGAGCCACCCAGGCGTCCCTGGGGAAGTTGATTTTTACAGAGACTCTGAAATGGCCTGCGGGTGCCAAGAATGTTCCATTATCTTGATAGTAGTGGTTATATGGGTGTATGCATATGTAAAAATTCATCAAGCTGTACACTTTAAGATGTGTGTATTTTACTGTGTGTTACTATGTTTCAGTTAGTTTTAGTTTTTTTTTTAAGATTTTATTTATTTATTTGAGAGAGAGAGAGAGAATGAGAGATAGCACAAGAGGGAAGAGGATCAGAGGGAGAAGCAGACTCCCTGCTGAGCAGGGAGCGGGATGTGGGACTCGATCCCAGGACTCCAGGATCATGACCTGAGCCAAAGGCAGTCGCTTAACCAACTGAGCCACCCAGGCATATCCTGCAAGATGATCAACATATTTTCATGTGATTCTGCGTGCGATCATCAAGCCTATTATCTTTGATCTGCTTTTCTACTAAGTCTTATTCACCCAGAGTTGAAGATATAGCCTGGTCGAGGTCCTGAGGGTAGGAAACCCAATATGAGTTTGGGGTCAAGTCCTAATTGGTATTAACATGGGTGTATTTAGGGCCGCCTGGGTGGCTCTGTTGGTTAGGTGTCTGCCTTTGGCTCAAGTCATGATTCCAGGATCCTGGGATGGAGCCCTGCATCTGGCTCTCTGCTCAGCGGGGAGCCTGCTTCTCCTTCTCCCTCTGTTCTCTCTCTCTCTCTCTCCAGTAAATAAATAAAATCTTTTTTTTTTTAAGATTTTATTTATTTAGTTGACAGAGAGAGAACACAAATAGGCAGAGTGCAGGCAGAGGGAGAGGGAGAAGCAGGCTCTGCCCTGCTCCTTTACTATGTGACTGTGGGGATGTCACTTAACCATACCTGAGCTTCAGTTCGACATCTATAAAATAATGATAGTAAGTGAGATTCCTCTCTTCCAGGGCTGCTCTGAGAAACAGATGACATGCACAAACAGCCTTTGGGATATGGTGAAGTCAAATTATTATTCTGGTCCCCCCTCCTATTTCCTATTAATCACTTTTTTTTTTTTCTGAGTGCCTCTTTTGAACTTATCTCCTTAGACACCCTCCTGAATGGATCTTTTTCCTCGTAATTACTTCCAAGTTTAAGTCACTACCAGGAGTTGGTCCAGCAGCCCCTTCCATTTTGCCAATATATCAGAATGCCTTGCCTTGAGTTTCATCTTAGATTTTTCAGATTCTGTAACCATATATAGCTTCTTCTTGTCTTTCCGGATCTTTTGCAGTTCAGTCTTCTAATTCACTGTGTTTACAATATTATTCCTCTTTGAAATCTCATTATCAACTGTGGCCAAACTGGAGCAAGTACAGAGTTTCTTGATTTCTCTTCATCTCTTTCAATTATTGTATACTCCTTGGCTAGATAAGTAAGATGAATAAGAAATAATTATTGTTGGTACAGAGAAAGTGAAGTTTTCTTTTTGAAAGGTGGTATTATTCGTACGTAAAGAAAGTTTGCTGTTTTTCTTTTAAGATTTTATTTATTTATTTGAGAGAGAGAGAGAGAGAATAGGAGGAGGGGCAGAGGGGGAGCGAGAGGGGGACAGAATCTGAAGCAGACTCCATCCTGAGCGCAGAGCCCAATTCAGGCCCTGATCCCATGACCACGAGGGAACTGAAAACAAAGTTGGATGTTCAACAAAATGAGCCACCTAGGCACCCCTTACTGTTTTTCATAAACTACTGGAGAGAGAGAGATTTTTTTTCATAAACTACTGGACTTAATGAACATTGTTAGAATATTTGAGAGATTTTCTAATTATCTTAGATCCATATCTAGAGTATCTACTGCGTAGAAGGCATTGTTTTAGGTTCTTATATTTCTAATTTAATCCTTATCACTGTTCTACAGGTTAGCTATTGTTTTCTCCCTTTTACAAATGTTGAGACTGAGGTTAGCTTGTACAAAGTCACACAGTAGGTTACATGGAAGAGACATATTTGGATGCAGCTGCATCTAAATATAAAACCTGTGCTTTTTCCAAAAGGTGTTCTTCAGTGGTCCACATCTTGTAGAGTCTGGTGAATCTACAACCAGGTAAAGGTAAGAAATAAGCTTTGGTAATAGAATACTGACTTGCTAGCCACATGGCTTATGTCCAGGATATATCTCCCTTTTATAAGAGTGTAAATCAGGAAAGAAGGAGGGAGGGAGGGGAGGAAGGGAGGAAGGAAGGAAAAAAATAGTCCTTTTTCTCTGCTTCTACTGGAGATTGCTCAAAAAAATAGTCCTTTTTCTCTGCTTCTACGGGAGACTGCTCAAAAAAATACATGAAATATGTATTTCATTACATATGTAATGAAATATGTATTTCATTACATATGTAATGAAATACATATTTCAGAAAATGGGTTATTTAATGTAGGAATGGACCACCAAGCAATTAAGAGAATTAATCTTAAAATTATGATGTCTAAGGTGTACCTAAGACCAATGGTCGCCAACTTCTAGGACAATAGAGGTCTCAACTCAGGAGCCTTTGGGGAAACTATAATTTTATAGTGTAATTACTTCCTGTAGTATTAATTTAAATGTATCCAAATTGAAAGCTTTGAGAAGACCATCTAACTATGTCCCCATGGGGACACATCTGTTTCATAAGTTTGCAGATCCAAATGGCTAGAATGATAGAGTTATCAACATTTAAACACACTAACATGAACATGAGGAATATTACAGAGACATTGAGATACACACAGGTACTTGTTTAATAAATTAGAATATTGCTAGGAAAGTAAACAAGAGGATGTTACAACTTCGTTCATTCTTTTGGAAAAACAGACATTATTATTTACTATGAAGTCAGAGATGATCCTTTTCCTAGAGTCAGGGGCTCTGATGGAGCATTACTAGGTCAGGGAATGACTCAGATTTATAGTCCAAACAAGTTCCTGTTCTGAGTGGTGCTATACATCAGCTTTCGGCCCTGCTGGTGAATCATAGCAGTTGCCACTACATTTCTGGGAGCGTTTTCAACCCCTCTCAGCTGTAATTCCCCAGATCCATTGCTCAAGATTAACAAAATATAAGACACAAAGATTAGAGGTCAGCTTTGAAATATAAAAGCATCATGCCCAAATGTTAAAAACAAGGTCAGCAGTAAATCATGTTGGAAAGAAGACGTATGTCATAAACACAAGACAAGAGATTATAAATCATAATTCACAGCATGGAGCTCCACCACCCTGAGAGAATGAACTAAAAAGTAGTGACAACAGCTAAGACAGTGACAACAAATAATACAGGTCAGCAATCTGAAGTTTGGAAGGAAAAGAGTACAAGTGTTCCAAGGGTCCAGAGGGAAGGGCAAAGGGCACAAGCCTAGACAGACTAACTAGGTATCAAAATAATGTTTGCTGGCTTGTTCATTGTTTTTCATCCTGGGAAATGCCAAACATAATTATTAGACTTTGTGGTTGGAAAACTTATAATTATTAGACTTTTTGCTTGGTTCTTGGAGGTCACTCTAGAAGTACAATATCAGTTTTTAGAGGACCCTAAAATTAAAATCTCATATGCTTAATTAATTAAAGACATCCCTAACATTTTAGAGGCAGAATCACTTACTTCTTCAAGTAAGAAGAGTGAATTTACATCACATCCTTCCAGTATCACTTGGCAATGCTCAAATATCATCCAGACTTTTTTTCAGTATGTAATAGCAGATCCCTGACACAAAAAGAAGAATGATATATTCTAAGTTAGAGATAAACCATAGCCACAAATCTTATTGTCAGCTTTCTCGGTCAGTTGCAAAGCTAACAATGGTTTAAAACTACTAATGACCATCCATCATATTTTTCTTGTGATGAAACGTAATTACAATGTGTTAATATTTATGAATCACGTGGAGGTTCTCAGATGAAGTGAAAAGCAAGTAGATAAATATTACATAAATAAGTAATTATATAAGCAATTAATGCCTCTCAAATTGTGGATTGTAAATTTGAAAACACTAATTGTCTTAAGGACTGAGGCCCGCAGACAACACGGAAAGGGCCACTGTTTAGAATGAAATCAACTCTTCTCTGATCTGATTTTCAGATCAAGTGGAACAGAAGAAAACAAGGCTCCATCTATTTAATTTTTTTACATACTGCTGGAGACATTCTATACACACAGTATTAGTTGAATATAGTTGATTTAGGGACACAGGCAAGTAAATGGTATGACCTTTTTCTTTTTCATGGTCGTATACAGTCAGTGCATGAAAACAACTTTTCAATAGATTCAAAATATCTGATGGTCAGAACAGTAAGAAAGAATAAGTCAGTCTTTGAATCTCGCTCCAGTGAGATATAAATAGTAAAATATTGCAGATAGCCACATGTGATCATGGAAAACTTGATTTTTGCAGTTTTCTTTTTTTAGGTATAATATTTTAATCTTTCATGACTAGGAAGAAAAAGGAACAGAAATGGAGAGTGGGAAATCACATTTCTAGTTACTCAGTCGTTTTAAACCACAGCTTTGGAAACACAAGACTCCAGATCACGTTGGAAGTTTTAAATATTAAGGCAAGAATCCAGTTTGCCATGCGATACAAAGCATTTGGGAATGTCAGAAGCTTACTCTTCCCCCATTCAACAATTCTGCAGAGATTCATCCATAACAATTAGAAACAGGGAAATTCTTCTTTTTTCTCATTTGCCTGCTTTAAAATGACTTAAGGTAAAATACCTCGAAATTGCCCTAGAATCAAAGGGGTTTTCTTAATAGCTCTTCACAAAAATAACTGCCCAGGTAATATTCAAAGCAAAACAAGCTTTGAACCTGGGCCCAGATTACACACTAAGAAATTTGGCCCTATTTTATTGGCTTCTTTATACTCTACTCTATTTTCTGAATTTCCTACAATGGACATATATCACTTTTATAATCAGGAAAAAAAAATCCCATAAAGAAGTTTAGTTCAGATCTAAAACATGCTCAGGGCCAATAGAAATGAGAAAATAGGCTGGAGCCCATGGTGTGAGTGCTTCCAAGCACCACCGTGGGAGTCTGTGCTCAGTTTTAAGAACTGTTCCTTATGTTTGGTAGCAAACATTTGGATGATGTAAGTGGACACTCTTACTCCCACCGCCCACCCCACCCCACCCCCCGCCGACTGATGAGCAATGAAGGATGTGTATACTTGCATGATTTTCTCCTGCATGGAGGTTAAAAAATAAATTATCCAGTAGCATTACAAACAATGTGAAGACTGCTTTAAATAAATCTGAAGCTGAATTTGCTCTGGACAGCGTTAAGCCATCTGAGATTTTTACTAGGGGGAGACTGTCAGGTCCATCAAAGGGCGCAAGGATGAACTTCTCAACTGAAAATTATTGTTCTCAAGAGTGTAAAGAGAGGCAACACAGTCTCATAAAAATTTGGAGAGATCAAAGCAGCATCGTGCAGGAGGTTCTAGATTTACCACCAACTCTGATATTTACAAGCTCTGTGACCCCGGGCTATTTACTTCACCTCTCTGAGCCTCTGTTTTCATTTATAAACTGGCAGGGATAATAGTACCTATTTGGAGGGTTATTGGAAGGATGGATTAAACCAGGAAAATTGTTTATAGGACATCTACTAGTGCATGAAAAGTGCTCCAATAAATGTTAACTTTTATGGAAACCTTCATGGTTTACTCCCCTGATAGGACAGTGGTATTTCAGTGAATAACACAGTCTGAATGTTTTAAAATATATTTTTTACACAGTAGCCTAGGTTGAGCACACCAAGTTCCCTTACGTCCATGGTAAGAGTCTTATTTCTGATCAGAATCTTCAAAGAGGCCCTGAAATGATGTCACCTAAGTAGTGACTCATCCCAGATGTGGCGTGTAGAACTTCCTTGTACAAAATTAGAGAGAGTTTATGCTGGTGTTTAAGGTGCCAGAAGGGGTCCTAGAGGGAAAATTATTTGCCACTGGCAGATACGAATCTGCTTATAAGATGTATGATAAGCCATTCCCAAATGGTCACTTGGAGTGACAGCGTTACTAACCAGTTGTCCCTCATGGAGTTCTCACAACTACCTTATGCAGCAGGTACTGTTTTAATCTCTAGAAAAAAAACTGAGGCTTAGAGAAGTTAATGACTGTCTCACTGTCACACAGTAAATAAACAATAGACTGGGCACTCCAGTGTCTGACCATAAATGGGAACATCCATTTATCTGAGGGAAAAAAACATGTTGGCCTCACCCTTTTTAGAAATGGTGGTGGTGGGGAAGAAGAGAGGAGCAAAGGACGAAAATTTCAGCCATTAATCTCTTTTGTCGGAGGGCAGACCCAACCACAATTGCCCCAGAAGCAAAATCAGACACTGGGGTGAAAAGACAATCTTGCAGGGAATCTGAGGAGAAGTTATGCTTTCAAAAGGTGTGAACCTTGGCTGTTTGTGTTTTTTTTGTGTTCCTCCCTTCTCCATTCTAACCTGTTCGTCGCTGGGAAATGAAACAGTTTTGGTTTGCAAGCTGTCTCCAGGGAGTGGACCAAGACTTTGTGTAATAAACAAGAGCATCTGCCAGAGCCCCCAGCTAGCCTCTCCAAGGCCAGACTGCCAGGGAAACCTGGCACTGTGACAACAAGGTCCATTTAGCATGACCAGTGGTCACTGAGGAACGACTCTGGAAAGGACAGCCAGATGGGGCACCCCCAAGCTCAGCAGGGGAAGAGTGCAGCCTCCAGTAGCGAGCTATATAGGCTCTTAAAATCCCTCCGGCCTGGAATGCCAGCCAAGTAAAATTGCGTGCATGTGTGTGTGTGTACAGAGTTTTCTAGAAGAAAAGGTTTAGAGCTTTCAGCAAATTTCTAAGAGCCTGTGACCCTCAGGGGAGAAACCACAGTTGGGAGAAGCACATACTCTGATCTTCCAGAAAAGAACACCAAGCTCACCACTTATATTTCTGGAGCAACTGAGCCCAGGCTCTTAGCCCACTTTCCCCTTACAAAACCCTAAGGCACTTAAAAGAGACCACGGTAAGGGGGGGGCGGAATAACTCAACCCCCTTTCTAATCTAAATCTAATCCTCCTTAAACCTCGCCTGACCCAGGCTACCAGGAATCCTGCCAATGCCAAATGATATGATGTTTATTCAGCTCAGGTCTTAGCGTGCTGCTCCTGAGCAACAAAATCAAAGAGGAACATGTCAGCCACCACCTGCTGATGAATGGGTAAACAAAGGGCCAGTCAAGAACCAGGAGGACCAGTGTTTGAGGACAATGCCTTTGTGTGGTTCTGGCTCAAATAAGGGCACAGCTCCTAAGGAACAGGCTTGAGACATGCCCATATGCTGTGCCAAGTAGTTCAGAAGCCTGGGTACAGCTGTTCCTAATATGCCCTTTGCCCCCTTTTGCCCCCTAAAACCACAATAGGGTGCCCATGACACGGTGCTCCCTTTCCCAGAAGAGGTTGGCAGAATGACAGTTTGTGAACCCATTAGGTTTTGGTGGGAAGAGTGCTTTCCAAAGTGTTCTCAGAGAAGCCTCCAATCAGTAAGAGTGTGGTAGAACTCAGAAGGCATGGCCTGACCCCCATTTTAGCAGAGCAGCTGTTTTGATCTGTTTTATATCTGGGGGATCTGAATGAGATTTAGGGGGAGGGAGTTCTGTTGCTAAAAACAGAATGTTTGCAAAACACTCGTGAAATACCAGCTTTGGCCCCTCCTTACCTGAGAGGGGCTTACATGGAGTAAGTCTTCTAGATTGTGAGATTTAGCAAGCTGGGTTTATTCTCAATATTCTCTGCTTCCCTTCTCTCAACAAGTGCCTCCTTATAACTCTTTCTATGTGTGTTTGACTCAGCATCGTCCCCTCGGGAATAACCGTGCGAGGGATAGCTAACGGTTTTTCAGGGTCTCTCGTGTGCCAGGTGAGGTGCTGGGCGCTGGGTGCTTATTGGACCCGTGATGGTCGCTCTCCTCAGTTCAGGTAAAAACAGTGAAGCGGAAACACAACAGCTAGCACAACACCCACAAGGACAGTTTGCCTCCGTGTACTCAGCTCGTAAGTGATGGACCGGGCAGACAGTTGTCCGGATAGGAGCTCAGAGCCCAGATTCTTACTCAGTGTCTAATGTTGCTGCTCTTGTTCGAGCAAGATGTGTGTGTGTCTGTGTGTGTGTAAATCAGATGTATGTTATTTTTACACGTTAAAAATAAATAGAGAAAATCTGAAGGTAAAAATAGGAAGACAAAATCGCCCATCATTCCACCATTCGAAGACCACCAACTGTTCATGTTTGGGCATATTTCCTTCCAGTCTATTTTTATGCATCCTTTTTAGCTCTGCACATTTATAACAGCTGTGATTATCTATGCATATTTTATTTCGCTTTTGTCACTTAATATGACAACACGATGATGTTTTTGATAACATTGCAAATTCTCTATCATTTTTCCTGGCTAAATAATGGTCTCCTAGGTGGAGCAATTCAGCTTAACAACACTTATTGAGCTCGTAATATGTCCCAGACCCTATGCTAGTCCCTGGGAATACTGTTTTCTTCGAGGAACTAGCAGTCTACTGTAGGTCAAATAAAGTACATAGATAACCTATATCTTAGGTTATCTATTACAACCTATAGTTGTAATAAATCCTCACACCACTGAACATATACCATGTTGCAGGCACCATTCACATGAATGAACTCACTGGATTTTCACAGCGACCTTATGCATAGGGATGATCTCTGCTCTTCTGATAGATGTCAAGACTGAGGCGTATTTTGCTAACAAGATGGCCCTTCCAGATGCGGTAGGTAGATAGAAGGTGCTCGAAGATGTCCACCTCCTAATCCCCCGAATTTATGACTATTACTCTATATGGAAATTACCTGTTGGGTAAAATAGTAAAACGTAATGTTACCTTCATTGGAAAAGGGACTTTGCCAATGTGATTAAGTTAAAGATTTTGAGAGGGGAAGATTGTCCTGGATTATCTGGGTGGGCCCGATGTCATCACAAGGGTCTTCATAAGAGGGAGATAATATCAGAGCAATATCAGAGTCAGAGGAGATGTGACAATGAAACCAGAGGTGTGAATGTATGTGTGTGTGTGTATGTATGTGTGTGTGAGTGAGAGGAGAGAGAGGGTGTGTGTGTGAGAGAGAGAGAGGGAGACAGAGACTGGAAGATGCTACACCACTGACCCTGTACATGGAGGAAGGGGCCATGAACCAAGGAAGGCAGGAGGCTTTCAGAAGCTGGAAAGGCAAGAAAGTAGATTCTCCCCTGGAACCTCCGGAAGGAACACAGCCCTGCTGACACCTTGATTTTAGGACTTTTGACCTCCACAGCTGTATGATAAAAAATTTATGTTGTTTTAAGCCGCCAAGTCAGTGATAATTTGTTACAGCCGCTGTAGGAAACCCATACACTAGGATTCAAACCCGAGCAGCTTGACTCCAGAGCCATTATTCTTAACTACGGTCATATGTGCAGGACAAGGTAGTTAACATGCCCAGCGCGCTGTAAAGGCCTAGAGAAAGACACTCAGCAGAGTGTTAGGGAAAGACAGGAGGATGAGAACCTGACTCTTTAAAACTGAGCACGAATTGTGAAGACAGGGAAGGCTGAGAAATTGAATTAATGTAGGACGATAACCATGATATCATAAGTGAAAAAAATTCTAATACTATGTATAATAATTTTTCCATTTCTGTTTAAAAATATATAGGAGCATATATTTATAATCATATAAGCAGATGGTATAGTCCCTTGGTTCTCTCTGGGGAGTGCACTTGTGAGTAAATGTAAGGGGAGATTTTCACCTTTTACTTACATATCTTCATATTATTTGAAAATGTCACCAGACATGTATTTTGGGTTACATTTTTTTTTGTAAAATAAAGTATATATAATATACCACTTTTTTAAGTTGGAGAAAATAATGTGCCTCACTGCAACGTAAATCTTTGTGCATAAAGCTTTGTGCTTCTATAGGATGATTTCATTAGCATGGAATATTTCTGTACATAGAATTGCTGAATCAATGGATAGAAACATTTAGAAAATGTATATATTAAAAAATAACAGAAATGGCACTCAGTCAGTAAGCTGAAATGAAATGTAGGAGGGGAGAGTGGATATTTAACCTGGTGAGCAGAAGATAAGATAGTTTTCCCCTCATATATGCAGGCTGATACATTGTATACTAGTTCCCTAGGGCTGCCTTAGCAAAGTACCGCAGACTAGGTGGCTGAAACAACAGAAATTTATTTTCTCATAATTCTAGAGGCTAGATGCCCAAGATCAAGGTGTCAGCAGGGTTGGTTCTTACTGAGGGCTCTCTCCTTGAATTGTCGATGCTCTCTTCCTGTGTCTTCATATGGTGTTGTTTTCTGTGTATGTCTGTGTCCTAATTTCCTCTTCTTCTAAGGACATCAGACAGCTTGGATTAGGGTCCACCCCAATGACCACATTTTAACTTAATTACCTCTTTAAAGATCCTGTCTTCAAGAATGATACTACATTCTGAGATACAGGAAATTAAGACTTCAGTATATGAATTTTGAGGGGACATAATTCAGCCCATAACACATGGAAAAGAAAGTTCCAGGAGAATGCAATACCAGTGAAGAGAATTTCTGTTCAGTGTGAGAAGGAAACTTTGTAATATCTTAACATTTTCCATAATGGAACAGAGCTAAAGAATGAACACCATGGTTATGCTGGTTTTAGGCTCGCTTTTTCTTCCCAGCCCTGTCCCAGTGCCTGTCCTGGTCAGCTGGGCTGGGCTGAATGCAGACTGAATAGGCTGTTCTCTGACTTTTCTCTTCGGAAACTGAGTCTGCTCTAACAACTGCATGACTCTTTCTGTGTACCACTGTGTTTCCACTTTGCCTCTGCAGTCTATCTCCAAAGACGGCATGAGACGGGGGAGAATAAATCATGAATAGGAAGAGAGTTTGGCTCCGTCCTCGCCCCTCCAAAATGTCATTGCGGCTTCTATGTACCCTTTTGTCTGTCCTTGATTCAGATCATAAATTTCTCCTCTTGGAGTGGGAAAAGAGCGTGAGGGTGGGATCCTGAGCTTTTTCACAAGGTTAGAGTACATCCCCAGTAAAGAGGCTTATAGAATCTAAATCAAAAGTCAGAAACCTTTTCAGTAAAAAGCCAGATAGGAAATATTTTAGCATTGCAGGCCATAGGATTTGCTGTTACAAGTACTCAACTCTGTCATGTAGTACCAAAGCAGCCATATAAAAACATTAAAAAAAAAAAGCATTGTCATGTTCCAATAAAACTTTATTTATAAAACAAACAATGGGCCAGTTTTAATCTATGGGTTGTAGTTTGCCATTATTCAAGAAAATTGAAAATACTTACTAGGCTGAACAAAAGTGTATAGTGAGCCCAGACTGATCAACTATGAATTGTACAAATTTCTTTCTTCATTTATTTAATAAGTTACATATTTCTGAGTGTAAAGGATAGTCTGGTTTTTGCTCAATACACTTTGTTCATTTTTTATTATAAAGAGGAAAGCTTTGAAAATTAGTTTAATAATAGCATATTTCTGAACCTGAACTTTAATTTTTTTAAAGATTTTATTTATTTGAAAGAGAGAGAGAGTGCACAAGTGGGGGGAGGGGTGCAAGGGGAGAAGCAGATTCCCCACCGAGCTTGATCCCAGGACTCTGGGATCATGACTTGAGCCAAAGGCAGACCCTTAACTGACTGAGCCACCCAGGTGCCCTGAACTTTAGTTTTTTTTTAAAAATTTTTGCCACATAATGCTTAGGTTAAACCTGACACAATCACAAAATAACGGGGCAGAGATAAAGGTAGAATAAGTCCCAATGACTTGGTGTTTCATTCTGTCATTCATTTAACCAATATTTGCATATGTGCTGTGTGCAAGTCACTAGAGTGAGTGCTTTGGAGAAGTCTTCAAAGTCACCAATATTTCTCTCCAAATAAAGTGAGAGAAGATCATCCCTGGCCATGAGTGATTAGTCTGGGGGAGAGCACGTGACCAAGTTAGAACAAGCAGACTATCCCTGTGGAATTTGAATCTAAAATGGAATACCATAGCTGGAAGAGCCTAGAACTATTTCGCCAAGAAGATAGTTCATTTGTGGACGCCTGGGTGGCTCAGTCATTAAGCATCTGCCTTCGGCTCAGGTCATGATCCCGGGGTCCTGGGATCGAGCCCCACATCGGGCTCCCTGCTCGGCGGGAGGCCTGCTTCTCCCTCTCCCACTCCCCCTGCTTGTGTTCCTGCTCTCGCTGTGTCTCTCTCTGTCAAATAAATAAAAAAATCTTTTAAGAAAAACCCCAAAAACAAAATAGTTCATTTGTTCCTGCCACTGAGCTACATGGAGTTGCCCCTTTTTCAAGGTTGTTTGGTTTGTGAAAGAGACTAATAAGAAACAATATTGAGGGGCACCTGGGTGGCTCAGTCGGTTAAGCGTCTGCCTTCAGATCAGGTCACGATCCCAGGGTCTTGGGATCGAGCCCTGCATTGGGCTTTCTGTTCAACCAGGAGCCTGGTTCTCCCTCTCCCTCTGCTGCTCCCCCTGCTTGTGTTCACGCATGTGTACCCTCTCTCTCTCTCTGTCGAATAAATAAAATCTTAAAAAAAAAATAATGAAAAAGTAGTTTGGGCTCAGCTGTGGTTAGCCTTCAAAACCAGAGGGAGGAGCCTGGATTAGATTCTAGATAAAAAATGTCCAATGATACCATGACTGATTTGAGCGAGAGAATGATCAACCAGGCAAACACAACTTCCACATCCACGAAGTGCTCAATATCAGCCTGAGTTATGCTAGATGAATGGAAAACTGAAGATCAAAAATGTTTGGGGGGCACCTGGGTGGCTCAGTCGTTAAGCATCTGCCTTCGGCTCGGGTCATGGTCCCAGGGTCCTGGGATCGAGCCCTGCATCAGGCTCTCTGCTCGGCAGGAAGCCTGCTTCTCCCTCTCCCACTCTCCCTGCTTGTGTTCCCTCTCTCACTGTGTCTCTCTCTGTCAAATAAATAAATAAGTAAATCTTAAAAAAAAAAAATCTTTGACACTGCATGCAGATCTGCCAGTTACAGTGCTAGAGCAGGAATTCTCAGCTTCAGCAGTAGTGACATTTGGGCTGGAGAGTTCTTTGGTGTGGGGGCTGTCCTGTGCATTGTACAACATTTCTAGCAGCATCTTTGGCTTCTACCCACCAGATACTATCCAGTTGAGTTACGACAGATTAAAATGTCATTTATCCAGACATTGCCACATGTCTCCTGGAGGACTGTAATAGTTCCCTATTGCTGCTGTAAACAAATTGCAAGGAAATTAGTGGCTTAAACCACTTCAAATTTATTCTCTTACATTTCTGGAGGTTAGAAGTCCAAAGTGAGTCTCGCAGGGCTAAAACCAAGTTGTTGGCAGGGCTAGTTCCTTCTGAGGCCTCTCAGGGGAGAATCTGTTTCCTTGTCTTTTTTTTTTTTTTTTTTGGCTTCTAGTGGCCAGCTATATCCCTTGGCTAACAGCCCCTTCCTCCAACTTCAAAGCACACCACTCCAGTCTTGGCTTCTGCCTTTGCATGATGTTCTCCTCCACCCTGGCTCTCCTGTCTCCATCTTGTAAGGATCTTATAAGGATCCATTGGGGAACCTGGATTATGCAATTTAATCTCCCTATCTCAAGATCCTTAACTTAATCTCATCTGCAAAATCTCTTTTACCACATAAGGTAATGTTTGTAAGT